CTAGCTGGATGATCTTGATCTTGGGAAAATCTCTTCAAATCTCTGAGCTTCAGTTTCCCCAGCTGTACAATGGGACTGCTAATAGTAACTACCTCAGAGAATTGATAAAAGGATCAAGTTACATTTTGCACAGAAGATGGAACAAATGCTCGGTAACTCTTATTAAACAAAATTAAGTAAAAAAAAAGGAATGTGGTTGGTTGCCAAGGGAGTATATAGTCTCATCATATTGCAATGATAAGTATATAACGCAGCAAAGTTTTAACGACTATTTTGTCTTTATTTGATTGTTTAATTATTTTTTATTTGACAAAATATTTATTGAGCACGTATTTTGTGCCAGGTGCCGTGCCAGAGTAGAAGAAATATTGTCCTCACTAGTGATGTGCTCATGGTATACTAGGGGGCAACCAAAAAGCCAAGAGGCAATAATGACGCTGCAGAATGACACCTTTTCCGATGACAATCAGGGCAGGGTTCTTTAGACACATGCACGTCTTTGGGGTGGTGGCCAGGGAAGGCTTCCAGGGAGGGGTGATGTCTATGCTGAGACGGGAAGAATGAGGATTGGCCTGAGAAACCACAGTAGCCCATTTTTCGAGTGTGCTTCCGAGGGACCAGGTGCTGTGCTGTGTGTTTCACATGGGTTTTCTCACCCAGTACTGACAACAGAACCATGACAACTTTACAGATGAGGAAGCCGAAGGTCAGAGAAAATGTAGCTAGCACGTGGAGAAGCTGAGATTGAAGCACATCGCGTGTTTGGGTCCAGCAGTACCATCTGTCCTGTAAGACCATCCTATATTGTGTTTATAAAGCGAGGGCAACTCAGGTTAGTGGAAAAGACATTATCCTTAGCTAGACCATCTATAGGAGGCCAAAGGGATAGATGGTTTTCTAAGATGAGGGTGTGCGTGAAATAGGAGGTACTGATAGCTCTTGGGGAGGAGGGTGATGTGATTCCAGGGAGTTGTGAGTAGGAGGCATCCAGACACGAAGGTCAGGTGGGGACAGGCTGGTGGCAGGAGGCCCGGGATAGAGAGCAAGAGCAACTCGCTCCTGGGCAGGTAGCAATGCTACTTCCGCTTCCTCCCCACAAGGAGGGCAGCCACAAGGCGTTTCCTCTGTGTGATTGGGATCAGCCCCCGGGATCCCCAGGTACTACCAGAAAAAACATCAGAGTGCACTGGGCTTGCTTCTAACCCTAGAAGCAAGAAGACAGCTGATTAGAAGGAGCAAGCAGAGGGCTGGGAGGAGCAAGCTCACACACTCTGCTCTGTGCCCGGGCCACAGAGCAGGCTGAGTCTACACACATTGGCAATGACCAGCGAACACGCTTCCATTTCTGCCGTCTAACTGGACAATCGAAATTCCATAACAAGTTCTTTTGGGATCGAACCACGGGTTGAGCGAAGAACACCACTGTGTCTGAGGACAAATTGCCCACGTATCGCTCTTTGCGGTGAGCCTTGTGTTCTAACAAGAGCAGGTGTCATTTGGGCCCATCCGTTTCTGAGGTGGAAATGTCCCCTAAGAATGGGATGTGACAGTCCTTGAACACTGTGCTTCTAATGGCAGCTGACTTATTTAGAACGCTTGTTTCTTGCCAGACACCACTTAAGAACTTTACAGTGAGTCCTTTTAGCAGGATTTTCACAGGCAAAGATGGCTGGTGGAGACAGAATGAGTAGCTTGCCCAGTGTCTGCCAGCAGGGAGGTGGCAGAGCTGGAATTCTTGATCAGAAACGCCGCCCTTGACCGCTTCTGCTAGTGACGCGATGCAATTAATTGTCCCCTGTGTCCCTCTGAGGGGCTGTGTGCCAGAAAAGCCTTCTGAAGCGCTCTGGGCCAGGCAGGGCCACACTTAAAATACCTGTGTGTGATTTAAACTGGCATTTGTTTTCCTCACGGCTATTTACCGAGTGACAGTCGCCTCCCAGGCAGGGGGCTAAGTTCTGTAGTACAGTCGTGAGCAGCGTAGACAGACGCTGTGCTATGGAGCTGAACATGTGTGTGCAGGGGACTAAACACATGTGTGGCGAGACAGAGAATAGCAGGGCGGACCTCCGCACGGCCGGTGGGGGAGGCCTGTCTGCTGAGAGGGCATTTAAGATGGGACTCGAAGGTGAGCCAGGGTGAGCACGAGCAGGGAGTCGCCATGATGGCACAGTGCTCAGAGTATCTGAGGAACTGAAAGGCGGCCCGCGTGGCTACAGATTGGAGGAGGGGGAGGCGCCCAGGGAGGCCCAGCCGGGCCCCGGGTGGCCGTGTGGCTGGCTGCACAGCCCTGCGTGGTGGCACATTGAGCACTGACAGGTGGGAAAGGTACTGAGGGACACAGCCACAGCAAGCAAACCCAAGCATGCTCTGTCATAGAACCAGGTACAAATGAGGTCCCTGCAAACCGAGGCTGATGCCACCTGCAGCTTCTTCCCGTTTAACGGAGCCCTGAGTGCCTCAGGGACTTTTTCATGGTGCCTGGAGGCCAAAAGCAACACCTAGAAGTTCCATTTAGTATGGAGTTAGGGCTAAATGACTTACCAAGTCTTCATTTCTTAACAACGTTTTAGTAGCCATTTGAACAAATGATGCACATACATTGAAAGAAAAAAAAACAACGAATACTTTTTTTGCATTCTTGAATCACCACAATTACTAATGGGATGTGTGTGTCTGTTGGGCACTATACAACTCCTCAGATTTTGGAATCTGATTGGACACTGCCACCCTCATTTTCTGTTCCGTATTGATTTCCTTGTGGTACTTACTTTTTGTCACAGTAACGGCTAAAAACCTGGCTTCCCCCAAATATGACATCATTAAAAGGAATATAGCGTGATCTAATGTTGAAACTGTGAACCACCCTGAATCTATGCAGTGTTCAACAGACGTTGAGCATCCTGTGTTTCCCTTGGAGAATTTAAAATATCTCACAGTACTCCTGCGAATTTACTATGGTACCCTGGGGTGACCTGTTGTACGGTTTGGGAACCACAGAGCTAGACATATACTTTCTAACTATGGAACTCAGATATTCCTTTGCAACCAAATCCTTTCTCCAAGCCATATTTCAGCATATTCTGTGCAAGGATTCTAGGAAGGAAAGGTGTTCATCCTTTCTGGAAATTGTATCCTAATTTGTCCGGCAATTAATAGGGGTGGACCCAAGAGTGCTAACCCAGCCTGGCTAATTTGGATAGAGGAGGAAAAAGGGTGAGTGACACATACAGATCTTCAGCAATAGTATGAAAGCGTGAGAGGCTGAACCAAGAGGAAATGAGTAGGTGACATGCAACCGTGATTTTGGGGCCCCCGATGAAGAAATGAGTGCTGAGATTCTGAAGGGCTGGTTATTGTCAGAGCTGCAGGTAAGCAGGCTAAGCTTCAGGTGTTGCCTCTGTAATCAGGAACATCCTGTCAGAAGGCACTTAGAGAGTGGAAGGAATTCAATACTCAGCTCCACCAGCACAAGTTTCCTTGGTTGCTCTGTCTGTTTCTTTAGCTCCCTGACTCATTCTTGGCGAGAGAAAGTTGTAAAGATTAATGAGCAGACCTGTCTTTGGAATGCCCCAGAACCTCGAAGCCGTGTAAATATCACATTGTCTCAAAGAACAGTAGCCAGGAGAACCAGTTGACTTCAAGTCAGTTTTACTTTCCCTTTCTGCGAAACGTCATGTATGCAAATCTTCCAGGATGGCTGAGATGCTGATGAAACCAGTTCCCATGGCAACTGGGAGATTATCTTTACATCATTCTGTGATGAGCAAAGCCTGAGTTAAAACCAGGGGGGAAGTAAAATTCTTGCTTGTCATTGAACTTGGGCTGTTTACTCAACCTCTTCATTGCCTTTTTTTTTTTTGTCTATAAAGTGGGGCTATATCAACACAGACTTTTAAGTCATTACGAGAAGTAATAATACCGAGCAAAAACCATGTGTCAGGTACTTTGCTACATACTTTAGATACATTAGCTTATTTCATCCTTACAACCACCTTAGGAGAAAGGTATGTTATAATCCTCAGAGATGTCTAAGGAAAATGAGTGACAAGGAGAAAAAATAAGTTGACTGAGATAGAAGAGATAGCAGATAGAAGATAGCAGAGCAGGGATGATGAAACACTGTCTAGTATATGATTTTGTCAAAGATCGTGCATGTGAGATCTTACCCCAGTGCCTGCCCATAGCAGCTCTTAACAAATGCTAGCTATTATCATTATTGCTGTATTTTTATTAATTTTATTTTCATCATTATTTGACTGGGGGAAATCACCTTAGGCTTCATGGAGGAGGTGACATTTGCAATCAGCTTTGAGGGTGTGTAGGCTTTGGACAGGTGGGGATGGGACAGAATGACATTCTAGACTATGGGCCCAACAAGAGCTAAAGCTGAGAGGTGGGACTGTGTAGCTTTGGGATGGAGAGCAGGGAGGAGACATGGAGGCTGGATCTTAAGACTGTCAGGGAAACAGGAGAGGAGGGCTCTGTTGAAGGGAGAGTGAAATAGCCTGGCTGTCTGGCGGTAGACAGTGTGTCAGCATTCCAGGTTTTAAATATAGGAAGTGGGGAGATCGGAGCTTTGCTCAATAACTTGTTTAGTGAGTCAAAATGCCTGCTCTTGAGGCCACCCTCTCCTTTTAGGGGAACTCTTCAAGCCTGGGACCATGCAGGCAGGTACCCAGCTCTGGTGGTGATGCCCCAGGCCAGAGGAGGAAACAAAGTCTTGGAGGTCTGAAATCCCCACCCAAAAGTCCAGCTTTCATTCTAACCTCATCGCTCCATCGGGACAGGCTGTCGATGGGTGCTTGCGTGTGCTCAGAGGGGAGGGAAGGAAGAGAAACCGAACCAGCGGCAGAAGCCCCCCTCAAGGTCATGCGCCTCTGCTTCTCCCTGGTGCTACTTCCTTGTAAGCCCCAAAAGGGCACGGCTGACCCAAGCCTTCTCCGGGACCACACATTCCCGGGTGAGAACGAGGGGCGGGAGGAAATGAAAGGAGATGGAAGATGCAGGTTTTGCCTTACGTTTTTTCTAAGGAGAACCACTGAGAAGATTCATTTTGAAAGAGAAAGATGGGCCTGGCAGTGTGATGTAAATGCAGGCATTCGGAGTCCCTGCTGGAGCCCACACAGAGGTGAGTAGGGGCTCTCCGGTGACCCTGTTGGGAGTCTTTGGCTGGGAAGCTGGATGTTGGAGCTGAAAGGGCAGAGAAATAGAAACCAGACCACCTGGGGTCTTCTGGTCCAGTGTTTTCCAAAGGGCAAGCGCCCTGGGAGGTGGTTTTGAATCGCAAAGGAGCTACTCATTGCGTAGTAACAAATCACACATGAATCTTTTCCCCATTTCAAGGTTATTTTTCATTTCGAGTGCCACTGAGGAGAAAGTCTCAGTTTTGGACTAGTGGGTCTTAAACACCTCTCCATCACTCGTTGATGTCTCTTCTTAACAGAAAGCAGTCTTGGAGGCTTACTGGGAAATAGTGTCTAGCCTAGAGGGTCTCTCCCTTGATCGCACACTGGTATTACCTGGGGAGAACTTAAAAAAAGTTTAAGTTTTAAGTTTAAGTTTAAGTTTAAGTTAAAAGTTTAAGTTTACTTATGCCTGAGCCCTCTGCTACCTCAGAGGAATTCTGATTTAATAGGTCTAAAGTCTGGCCTGGGCACTGGAACTTTTAGAAGCTCTCCAGGCAACAGTTTCTAATTAAAATTGTCTTCTATTATATTTATTGATCTTCTATTTATGGCACGTGATACTGTTCTTTTATTGAAGGCATTGAAGTAAAATTTTTTTCAGTATTCATTGACTTAAGTAAAAACATTAAATGCCCATTAAAGAAAATTAACTAAAGAGTGCAGATGGTATTTGGATATGGCAAAACCAAAATATGCATTCAGTGAACTTTGGAAAAATCTCTTCTGGTCCTTGTTTAGCTCTACCCTTTCTGCCTTTTTGTAGGTCCGGTCCCCTTGACAATAAATGGGAGTAATTATCCCAGGTCCCCTTCTTCTATGGGGTTACCCTGGGAATCAAATGATGGAGCTTTGTTAAGTTTGATTTGCTAAGCAGATATGAGAAAGGGAACGAAAGGGAGGAGACCCATGCAGCAGGAATGACTAACGGGTGGATTTACACAGAACTGGATTTGGGGCAAGTTAAGTCAGAATTTCTGATTTCCAGGTACCATGTTGTCTCCCTCCTTACCAAGATCATTCACTGGTCTCCCTTAAAGGTGTCATGACTGCCAGCAATGATTTATTTCTCTAGGGGCAGCAAACTAAAGAGCACTCAAAGTGTCACCAGGACCCCCGAGGGTTGCAAGTTAGAACACAAGCTGGGCAGCCTGTGCTGTCACCTTCCACGCCAGGATCTTCCGGACGTTGCACTGCACATATGGGGTCCTGGCCTGGCCCTCTGCAGACAGAATTCTGCACTTAACCATCTGAGTGTCCCTTCCATGGGTTCCAGTTTCTTCATCAGGAAAGTGAGGGGTTTGGATCAGTTTAGGATAAGGCATAAGTTCAAATGCCCTCAGTATCAAGGAGGTGACTCAATTTGTGAGGCTCCTCCAAGGGAATAGAGAGTCGTCAACCCTGTAGCAAAGAGAAGAGAAAGGTCCCACCATCAAGATGCTCAGGTTCAACTTTTAAAAACCATAGAGCTGCCTAAACAGCAGTTTGGCAAGGTGACAATCAGCGATTCCTGGATGTGATAATTTCTAAGATTCCTTTCATTTCTGAAAATGATTTTATGATAGTATAATAAATTTAATTCAGGGATTCTACTAGAGGTTTTTGATATGACTGCTGTACTCAGTAGCACCAGGTCCTTCTCTGATAATAAGAGCTACCATTTATAATAAGAGCTAACATTCACATCTAAGTTCTTCAAAGCCATTTAATCCTTGACACAGCCCTGCGAACTCAGTCCTATCATAACTGCTTCATAACAGATAAGGACGTGGAGGTTCAGAGAGGTTAAGTCATTTGTGTAAGATCTCTAGAGCAACACTGTCCAGTAGAAATATGAAGTGAGCCACATATGTAATTTCGAATTTTCTAGCGGCTATATTAAAAATAAAAAGAAATAGGTGAAATTAATTTTAATAATATATTTTATTATTAATATATACCTAATATATTCAAAGCATTATCGTCTCAAAGTGTAACCAATGTAAAAATTAACTAATGAGATACCTTATATATTTTTGTTATACTCAGTGTTTGGTATGCATATTTTCTTTCTTAAAAAAATAGTCTTATTAAGATATAATACATATACTGTGTAATTTGCAGATTGGAGAGTGCAATTCAATGTTTTTTAATATATTCACCCCAGTGTACAGATTTAGGAACTTTTTATCCCCTCAAGATAAAACCCCATATCCTTTAGCTAATACTCACCTACTAGCCTGGCCCCTCCTCAGCCTAAAGCAACCGCTAAATCTACTTTCTGTCTTTATAGATTTCCCTGTTCTGGACTTTCATAGGAATGGAATCACATGGTATGAATTCTTTGTGATTAGCTTTTCTCACTGAGCATAATGTTTCCAAGCTTCATCCATGTTGTGCCATCCATCACTTTTTATGGCCAAATAATATTCCGTTATATGGATATATCACATTTTGTTTTTCCACCTGTCCATTGATAGACATTTTTTTGTGATTTTATTTCAAAAAATTTAGGGGGTACAAGTGGATGAATTATATCATGCTGAAGTCAGGGCTGTCAGTGTATCGGCAACCAGAACGATATACATTGTACTCGATAGGTAGCTTTTTATCTCTCACCCCTCAATGCTCCCCTCTTCTTAGTTTCCAATGTCCATTACTGCTCTTTATGACCATATATAGCTTTTGTTTAGCTCCTCCGTTATAACTTTGCGTTGTAAGTGAAAACATGTGGTATCTGTTTTCCCATGCCTGAGATACTTCACTTAGGATAATGGTTTCCAGTTCCATCCAAGTTGCTGCAAAATACATTATTCCATTCCTTTTTATGGCTGAGTAGTACTCCATGGTATATCTATACACCACACATTTCTTTATCAACTCATCAGTTGATGGGCACTTAGGTTGATTCCGTATCTCTGCAGTTGTGGATTATGCTGTGGTAAACATTTGGATGCAAGTATCTTTTTGAGAAAATAATTTCTTTTCCTTTGAATAAATACCCAGTAGTGGGATTGCTGGATTGAATGGTAGATCTACTTTTAGCTCTTTGAGAAATTTCCATACTGTTTTCCATAGCAGTTATACAAGTTTACATTGCATTCCCTTTTCACTGCAATTGTGCCCAAATCTATTGTTTTTTTGTTTGTTTGTTTGTTTTTACTATTTAATAATGGTGATTCTGACAGGGTAAGATGACATCTCATTGGGATTCTTTTGCACATTTCACTTATGTATTTATTTTTATTTCAGAATATTACAAGGTTGCAAATGCTTTGATTACATAAATTGCCTTTGCACCACCGAGTAAGAGCTATAAGCATGCCCATCCCCCAGACAGCATACACTGCACCCATTAGGTGTGAATTTACCCATCCCCTCCTCCCCCCAACCTGCCCGACACACGATGAACGTTGCTATCACATGTGTGCATAAGTTTTGATCAATTAGTACCAATTTAACGGTGAGAACATGCAGTGTTTGTTTTTCCATTCTTGTGATACTTCACTTAGAAGAATGGGCTCCAGCTCTAACCAGTATAATACAAGAGGTAGTTAACCATTTTTATTTTGGGGGCTGAGTAGTACTCCATGGTATACATACACCACATTTTATTAATCCACTTACGTATCGGTGGAGACTTGGGTTGTTTCCACATCTTTGCAATTGTGAATTGTGCTGCTATAAACATTCTAGTGCCGATGTCTTTTTTATAGAATGTCTTTTTTCCTTTGGGTAAATATCCAGTAGTGGGATTGCTGAATCAAATTTAGTTCTTTGAGGTATCTCCATATTGCTTTCCACAGAGGTTGGACTAGTTTGCAGTCCCACCAGCAGTGTGTGAGTGTTCCTATCTCTCCCCATCCACGCCAGCATTTGCATTGTAAAAATTTGAGACTTTTTAATAAAAGCCATTCTCATTGAAGTTAAGTGATATCTCATTATGGTTTTGATTTGTATTTCCCTGAGATTATAGATATGGAGCAGTTTTTCATATGTTTCTTGGCCATTCGTCTATTTTCTTTTGAAAAGTTTCTATTCATGTGTTTCGCCCACTTCTTAATATGGGATTTTACAGCGTTTATATAGGAATATGCTTGAAAGTACTATTGTCATTCTGTAGTGTTCTTCACATTGAGTTTAGATACAATAATCACATTTTCCAACTGAAAGCTGTGTCTTGTGGTTTGATGAATATCTGTATTTATGGAGAAATGAGACACTCTATTTGAATTACAACTTTAAAACAATGCTACCATTCATGGAGCACTTATTGTGTGCTGGACAGAATACTAAGGGTGAGATAGCTTCTCTCATTTAATGCTCAAAACAGCTCCCTGTGGTAGGTATACTTATAGTCACTTTATACTAAAGAAACTGATGTTCAGAGGCATGAAGTAGTTTGTCTTCAGTCACACAAATTAAGTGGAAGAACTTAGACCAAATTCAGGTCTGTTTGGTTCGATAGTCTGTGGTCATTACCACCAGGCGATGCTGCCCACCCCTCTCCAGCTAATACATCCTGAATGTGTAACTGCCACAGGTCCATCAGTAGTCCCAAATTGATGATAAATGATGAATACATTAATATGGTGTGGGCTATATGTAATTTCACAGCATTTGGGTCCTAGTTTAGAGTCCCAAAGATGTCCTGTTGTATATGTTTGACATTCCCAGCACTACAATCACTCCCTTGGGTTAAGACTTTGCCTGTGGGTAAACCCCAGTAAAAGTGCAAACATGTTTCCTGGGAGCAATCATAAATTAACACCAATCACTATGACCACATTAGCAAGAAACAGCCAATTTCTATCATCAGGAATAGTTAATTGGAAAAGATGGATTTAAAATAGTCAATTTGTTAGAAAGCAATTCAATGTATATACGCTCAAATAATAAATTAAATATAGTGGTAGGTATATTTCACATAACCATAATGGGTAGGCCAGTCAGGGAAGGGTTTTAT